CTTTGCTGTGCACAAACTTTTTAGTTTGATGTATTCCCATTTGTTTATTTTTTTTCTTCTGTTTCCCTTGCCTGAGGAGATTTATCAGAAAAAAATATGGCTATGAGAAATGTCCAAGATTTTACTGCCTGTGTTTTCTTCTAAGATTTTTATGGTTTTGAGTCTAACATTTAAGTCTTTAATCCATTTTGAATTTATTCTTGTGTGCAGTGTAAGAAGGTGGTCTAGTTTCATTTTTTTACGTGTATCTGTCCTAACACCATTTATTGAACAGACTATCTTTATTGCATTTTATGTTATTGTCTTCTTTGTTAAATATTAATTGACCACAAAGGTGTAGTTTTATTTCTGGGCTCTCTGTTCTGTTCCATTGATCTATATGTCTATTTTTATGCCAGTACCAGGCTGTTTTGAGTACAGTGGTTTTGAAGTATAACTTGATATCAAGTAGTATAATTCCTCCAACTTTGTTATTATTTTTCAAGATTTCTTTGGCTATTTAGGGTCTTTTTTTGGTTCCATATAAATTTTTGTGACACCTGTTATTGTTCTGTGGACTAAGCCATTGGTTTCTTGATAGGAATTGCATTGAATCTATAGATTGCTTTGGGTAGTATGGACATTTTAATGACGTTAATTCTTCCTATCCATGAACATGGTATATGCTTTCACTTATTTGTATCTTATTCAATTCCTTTCCTAAGTGTCTTATAATTTTCCAAGTACAGAACTTTTACATCTTGGTTAAATTTATTACAAGGTATTTTTATGCAATTGTGAATGAATTGTTTTCTTAGTTCACCTTTCTGATAGTTCATTGTTTGTGTATAGACGTGCAACTGATTTCTGGGTATTTTGTATCCTGGTATTTGACTAAATTCATTTATCAGTTCTAGTAGTTCCTTGGTGAAATCTTTAGGGTTCTCTATATACAGTATCATGTCATCTACAAATAATGACAGTTTTACTTCTTTCTCTTCAATTTGGATGCCTTTTATTTTTTCTTCCTGTCTGATTGCTGTGGGTAGGACTTCCAGTATTATGTTGAATAAGAGTGGTACTAGCAGACATCCCTGTCTTGTTCTTGATCTTAGGAAAATGCTTCTAGTTTTTGCCCATTGAGTATGATGCTGGCTGTGGGTTTGTCATATATGGCCTTTATTACATTGAGGTATGTTCCCTCTCTTCCCACTTTACTTTGAGTATTTATGATAAATAATCCAAGGGGGGTTTCATTATTCTTAATTTATTACAAATGAAGTGCAAAGAGATTGAATAGCTTTCCCAAGATCACATTGCAAGTAGGTGAAAGTATTTATATTTGAATTTGCATCTCAAAGCCTGCCCTCATTCTAGCAGATATCAGTTGTCAAGGGTAATGAATCCTCTAAAGTTTATGGGCATGGGAAGCAGGGATTGTGAAGATGCAGCGAAACTTAGAATCTTGCTGCTGTTTGTGTTGCCAATTAGGTAGTTGAACTACTTTTACAAAAGAGGCAAAAGGTAAGACAGAAAAGGATTCAAGTTTTAGCCCACAGTGAGCTGCGGTTATGCAGGATTAGGCTGTTGATAATGTCAGAGGCAAGTGAACAGGTGTAGGGCAGGTTCTAGAACTGAAGTAGAAACCTGATTGCATAGCCAGTAAATCAAGGCAGAAGCAAAGTCTTGGTACCAGCATGGCAATAATGAGAGGGATATTAAGAGTGGGAAGACATCTCATCTGCACTTTTGGGTTCTAGAATCCAACAGCTTGTGGATCTGAATCTGCACTTGTCAAGATTCATTTAAAGGAGGAAGGTGGAAAGTTTATCTTTCATGTTAATAATGTTAAGTTTGTGCAACTAAACAGAACTTGAAATTGGGAAGAAAGTAATGCAATCCTTCTGTACACCCCCAGCACGGTTGTTAGTTCTCAAGAATTAATGTATAAAGACAGTTGTAGGAAAGTTATTTTAGATGGTATTATTCTGTGTGTGCATGTGGGTGGGCATGCATACATATGTGCAGTTTTCTTCAATATGCACACCTGTACTTGTTTTCTATGGATCTTTGCTTTGCTAGTTGCATTTCCCATCTTGACATCTGATTTGTCTGTCATTCACAGCTTTTGGAAAGGTGGCAGAGTTAAATAAGGACTTTTTCCAAGTATATATTTTAGCAGTAGTAGGATGTATGAATTGGGAAGTCTCATAAGATGTTACTACTAACTCATGAAATTTGGCAGGCATGCCTCCTTTTATACTCTAGAATATAATGTAACATAAATGTAGACTATAGTAAAACAAAATGACAGCTAAAGTGACACTTCCTGAACAGAATATTTTGAGACTTATATGTGATAGTTTTATGAATATTCTGAATATGAATATTCAATCATCGCCTGTAAATTCAGATTTCTTATTTTGACACATGATTGATTTTTTTCTCTAACATTAGTCTTTAAGAAATATTGAAGAATGAAAAAGGGTAACAAGATTAATAATGAAGATGTTTTGTCTGGCTTATTTTATGACACAAATAATTTATCAGAGTCTTGAAGAAATCTGCCTTATAGTCTAAAGTTATGGTTTTGCTAGCAACTTAAAAAAAGCTTTTATTATTTTTTTTCAAAATACACTTGGTATATAGTAAGTATACATTATACTATTAATGTCAAATTCTTAGAAATCATGGGAATTTTAAATGCACAGTTGAGATTTAGGTTATGTTATTAACTATGAATTGTTATAAACTCCTGTGCTGTTTTTTTCATTTTTTGTTAGTAAGAAGCTGGAATTGTAAACTCTATGAGTTTTCAAGGATAGTGTTTGGTTTGCTACTGCTTTCTCTTTATCACTTAAACACGGGGCTTGACCATCAGAAAATGCTCAATAAATAATTGTTGAATTATAGTTTTTTAAATGAAAAATCCAAATGGTGTAATAACAGGCTAAGGGACTGTCACAACCATAAAGCACTTTGTGAATTGAGCTATCATATTTTTCTTCTGATTTGCATCCTGCTGATTCAAAACAGTAAAACAGTAAGATTCTTTCTGACATGCAGAATGAGGCAAAGAACCAATCAAATCTTGAAATCAATCAACCACCAGGTGGGCATTCCAATATGTGGAAAGCATTGTGCAAACACTGTTATAAAAGAGAATTGAGCCCTGGCCCTTATAGCAAAGTGGTTAGAGTATCGGCCCACACACCAAAAAATCGTGCCTTGGATTCCAGTCCAAGGCACTTATCTAGGTTGCAGGTCGTCCGGCCCCCATCTGGGCCCCTGCAGGTGGCAACCAATCAATGTGTCTCTCTCACATTGATGCTTCTCTTTCTGTCTCTCCCTCCCTCTCCCCCTCCTTTTCCCTCCCTTCCTCTCTCTTTAAAATGCAAACAATGGAAAAAATATCCTCGGGTGAGGGGTGGGGGGAGAGAGAGAGAGAGAGAGAGAGAGAGAGAGAGAGAGAGAGAGAGAGAGAGAGAGAGAGAGAAAAAAAAAAAGAGAGAGTGTTATTGTGCCAGGCACCTTCCCTCTGAGAATTTTAAAACTTGACTAATGTCAGTAACTAGATTGTTGGAATTCAAACCCAGTTTTTTCAGACTCAAAAGCTGTACCCTTTCTAATACACCATACTCCCTGTAGTACAGTCAGTTCAATCCCTTTCAGCAGAATGACAAGGTAATTCACCGATGGTGACAGTTCTTTCAAGTTCCTTAAAAAGATTTATTATCTCAAAATGTATCCCAAGTATGTCCCTGTATTCTTTTTCTAAAAATTTTAAAACTCATTTTGGTTCATACTAGTTAGTGTATGTTCCAAATTAACCTATATTCTTAGCCTATAAACCTAATTTCTAATCTAAAAAGAAATTACCATGTAGCTATAAAGAGAATCTTTATTAGTTTTTTTTTTTTTTATTAAATGTAAAGCATAGAAGATACATTCCTTAGGAAATAATGATTTTGTTTCAATACCTGAATAGTATTTAGGGCTCTTCAGGCTTAATTTTTAAAGACAGAAGGAAATGTTACTATAGTTAGTGCTAAGAGAACTAAAAGGGATCCTATGCTGAAATACCTAACGTCATCATCGCCACCAGCAACACTACCACCATTTAAACAACACTTTCAGACCTGAAGTGGTGAATCAATTGTGCAGTATCAAAGTAATTTGTTACTAAAAATAGTCTAAGTAGTCATGTTTTCAAATGATTTGCTTTTTCAATTAAAATTATTTTTTAAATTAATTGTGATGCAGGTTATACCAGTAATCATATCATTGTCACATATTTGTGTTTTTATGCCTTACTTGGTGAAAAAGAGGCTACATTACTTATAGAAAGACTCAGAGGTATATCTTTCTATCAGAAAAAAAAGGAACAATATAATCCCCCAAAAATCATTTTGGGTTAATTATCAATTGCTGAAAGTATACACAACCAGTTTCATCCAAATAAACATTTATATCTACACACACACACACACACACACACACACACACCCCAGAAGTCAGTAATCACTGAGAGATGGATCTGTGTCTGAAATACTTCATTTTTTTAGGAGAGCAGGAGAAAATCATGTGATTTTTTTTTTTTAATTTTGGAAAGAATGAGTTCAAGAAATGATATTACTAGAGTCCTAGAGATTATTTTAGCCATGTCACACTTTTAAGGGCATAATAACTTAACATGGATTATAGAATAATTTTGAAAGCAAATTAAAAATGAATGTGGACATTGGAGACTGGCAAATAATTATTTGCAATTTGACTTCTTCATTTTTATTGTGGACACCTTATGTTTTATTTTACAGGTGTATAATTGTAAAGGTATTTTGCCAAGTTCTTACCATTGAAAACTGCCTATCTGATACTATCCAGTGTGTATGTACTGTAACATAGTTGCCAGTAATATTTAAGAAAATCAGTTATGTTAAGTAATATGGTAACACAAATGGAAATCAAACTTTTTGTGAAATTATTTCATTATTAACGATTTTTATTTACTTATATTCTAGAACGCAAATCAATTTCACGGTGGCTATTGATTTTACAGCATCAAATGGTGAGTGTTATGACTAACCCCTAATAAAAATGATCAGCAACTAAGTGAAATATAAATATTTATTTTCATGATGTTTTGATATTTTATTTCTATATTTTCATTATTCTGAAGTGTTTCATATAAAATTCAGATATTCAGATAAATTTTCTTTTTTCTTTTTAACATTATGAATTAGTTCAGGTATAGAGAGGGCTACAAGAAATATAACAAAAGTATGTAATAGTCCCATTCAAATTTATTAAATATCAAAATATGCTCATTTTTGTTTTGCATATTTTTAAAAAGATAATTCCAGATTTAGTTAAGCCCATTATGTACCCCACTCCATTTCTTCTATCCCCCCCCTTCTCCATACATAATTATAATCCTGAAATTTGTTTAATTATAGTCCTCATTTTTATAGTATTTCTATGAGTATTAATTTATATGAATGTAATTCAAGTACTTGTACCTTAGGTGACATGCTTTATTTTTACTTGAATATTTAAGAATTATTCATGTTTACACATTTATATTTAATCCAGAAGAGGTGTCATCTAATAGTCCATGTGCAGATATTTATAATTTGCATATCAAATATTTTTAAAAAGAAAAGTAGTGGACTTTCAATTTTATTTTGAGGTAACTTTATTTCAAATAGGACAGTTATCTGATATCAATTATGTATCATTAGAACATGAATCTCATTATTTAACTTTTACCAGAAGTTGTCATCAGTTTATATTTATCTAGGTTTTTTTTCCAAATTATTTATTGTGCTTATTATGGTCCTCACTTTATATTTCCTTTACCTCACATTTCTTTCACAGTGACTCACATATCACAAAATAATAGAATTTTTAGGTAAGAAAGCACCTTGGAAATCACTTATTTCAATTGTCCTCTTATACAATGGGGGAAAATGATCCAGAATATCTTTTTAGTAATAAATACATCTTGGCTTATTAATTCTTGAGTTAGAAATAGAAACTAGGAAACCAAACTATAATTCAGGAACCTTAGACTACATATTAAATTTATTCTCCAGCATTATGACTTCAAGTTAATGATTTTTATTCATGTGTTTTATTCAGTAAAATGTGGAACATAGAAGTAAAACCTAAAGCCCCACTGGTTTAAAATACTAGCTTTTATTCACTGATGAACATTAGCAAGAAGAGCAAGGATCTATTCAATAGAAAGACACAAACTTTTGAAACTGTCTTAAAAAGTAGATAATCTGAACAGACCTTTAATAAAAAATTGAATTTTGTAATAAAATGTTAACACTACCCGCAAAGTTTATCTGGACCTAGGTCCAGATAGCTTCACTGGTGAATCCTACCAAATACTTAAAGGAGAATTAATAAAAATTCTTCATACATTCTTCCAAAAAATAGAAGAGGAGGGAACACTTCCCAACTCATTCTATGTGGTCAGTATTAGCTTGATACCCAAACCAGACAAAGATATCGCAAGAAAAGAAAAACTAAAGATCAATATATTTTATGGAAAATGGATATAAAAATTCTCAATAAAATGTTAGCAAATTGAATTCAGCAATACATAGAGAGAATTATATACTCTGACCAACTAAGATTTTTCACAGGAATGTACTACATTGTCTTAATATTAAAAAATCAAATAAGGTAAGTAGAAAATTATTTAAAAACCACACAGTCATCTCAATTGATACAGAAAAAGCATTTGACAAAGTCCAACATACTTTCATGATAAAAACACTTAACAAACTAGGAATAGAAGTTGCCTTAATAAAGAAGGGACTAAATGAACAGATCATAGCTAATATTATACTTAATAGTGAAAAGCTGGATGCTTTCCCTGTAAGATAGGGAAGAGGACAGAATGTCTACTATTACCACTTCTATTCAACATTGTACTGGAAGTTGTATCCAGAGCAACTAGGCAAGAAAAGGATATAAAATATATCCAGATTAGAAATAAAGAAGTTAAACTATTTTTATTTGCAGATGACATAATCTTGTATATAGAAAATCATAATTAACCTCTTAAAAATCTATTAGAAACTATAAATGAATTCAGTAAGATTGAAGGATAAAATATCAATATATAAAATAATTTTTTCCTACACATTTCCAATGAACAATCAGAAAATGAAATTATGACAACAATTATGTTTACAATAGTATCAAAAGGAATCCAATACTTAGGAGTAAATTTAACAAAGTGAGTATAAAACTTATCTTCTAAAAACTATTCAGAAAAAAATTGTTGAAAGATTAAAGGTCTAAATAAGTGTAAAAAACGCCATTTATTGATTGGAAAAGTCGATACTGTTAAGATGGTAATATTTCCCAACTTGATCTCCAGATTCAATTTAATCTCTATCAAAATTTGGGGAAATGGGAAACTGACCCAATTGAAAGCAGACTTGAGGGGGAAAAAAAGATTCACAATTCTCAGTTAGCCATAATCTACAAATCAGTTATCAAGTATTAGTGAGCATGAAGAGAAATTGGAATCCTTATACTCTGCGGGTGATACTGTAAAATGGTGCAGCCACTTTGGGAAATACTTTCACAGTTTCTCAAGTTATTATAGTTACCATGTGACCCAGCGATTTCACTCCTGGATATAAACACAAGAGAGATGAAACCATGCCTCCATACAAAATCTTGTACATGAATATTTTTAGCAACATAGCCAAAATGTGAAAACAACCCAAAAGTCCACAAGCTCACAAATTGGTAGAAAGATGTGGTATGTGGATATGAATACTATTCAGCAATAACAGGAATGAAATATGAAGTGAAACATGCTACAACATAGATGAACCTTGAAATGACTATGGACTGACAGAAGCTAGTCACAAAAGACCATATCATATGTAACTCAACTTATATGAAATGTACAGAATTCCCAAATTAATAGAGACAGAAAGTAGATTAGTTATTGTTTAGGGCTGAGATGGATGGACTGACAAGGAAATGATAGTGAATAGCTACAGAACTTCTTCTTTTTTATTTTTTAAATATAAGCGAAAATTTATTTAGAAAGTCACAGAGGTAGAAGAAGTGAGCCTAAGAAGAAGTTAAGTCTTCTGGGCTGCGTAGGCTCAAGAAACAAATCCTGAGGTGATGAAAATGTTCTAAAATTGATTGTAGTGAATATACTTAAAATTATTGAATTGTATAGTTTAAAAGGGTGAATTATAAGTTATATGAATTATATCTCGACAAAGCTTTTTTAAAGAGCTTTTTAAAAAATAATCATATCCAAGTAGGATTATATTTTACAAAAGCATGGTGTATCTCTAAAGCAAAATTAGATGTCAATTTGATAATATTCAGGGTTTAAAATATTACAAGAGCCCTAAGTAAGAGTTACAGCTAAGGGTAAGAACTATGAAACTCGATTGCCTAGATTCATATTCTAGTTTTACCAAGTATTGTTTTGTAATTTAGGGCAAGTTATTTAATCTGAAAATTATGTAATCTAAAACATAGGTATAATAAAAATACCCATGCATCATTGAAAAGGAATTAGTGAGATATGAAGTAAGGAGTTCAATACATGTTAGAGTCCATGCTATTATAATTACTATTATTATTAATTGGGCTCCAATATTATCAACCTACTATTAATTCATTCTTCATAGACATTGTTGCAGATACAGAGGTGGTATAAACATGGCCTCGGATTCAGGAATTGACACTCAGTTTGGCAAATTGCTGTATTTTGTGGTGCAGAACACAAGAGCCATAAGAGTAAGAGAGGCCAGTAAGTGCCGGTAGAAACAAGGAAGACATAAGCTGGAGGAGAAGAAAGCAAATTTCAGGACAGGGTGGTAACTTGAGAGGTCATGATTGGAAGGAAGATACCTTTAGCGGTCCAGTGAAAAGACTGGTCTGGATGAAGTTGCTGGAAAGAGTTAAGCAACATCTTTGAATGGGTAGGAGCAAGCCCAGTTGTGCATGAGGCTAAGTTGTTTAGACGAGCTGGGTATATTAGTGGTATTTTTATTTTAGGTTGTGGTTTTCTAAGTGAAATTGAATTAGTTGCCATATTGCAACGACTGGGTAACAACTCTTATACTTGAGAATGTGGCTAAATAACCACTTAGTCAAGGAATGGTATTGCTTATCTGTGGCTCCAGTGGGCTTTTGACTAAGTGGCAAAATTCCTACTTTAGAAGAAATTTGTCAAAGAAGGATTGTATCAGACAAATTAAACAGGCTAGGAAGACTCTATTCAGAACTATTACAATAGGGATCAAAGCTATTACAGTAGAAGAAAGATACTGACTTACCTCCTCCAAAACAAAAGAAGGGAGGGAATTTAAGTGCTGTGGTGAACTAGTAGGCAAGTACTGGGGGACATTATAGAGGAGGTGGTTTGTGTGATTTTGTCATCTCTATTTGCTGATTAATATTTCTTAAAGTTAGGCTCCTACTGTCCCACAGAGACTATAGGTGACAGGGATGGTATCTTTCTTTTCTTTTTTCAAATTTAAATTCTTTATTGTTTAAAGTATTAACTATGTCTCCTTTTCTCCCTATTGACCTCTCCCTGGCTGCTTCCACCCCCCCGCCCCCCCAGCATTTGCCCTCACCCCCTTACTGCCTGTGTCCATTGGTTATGCTCATATGCATGCATACAAGTCCTTTGGTTGATCTCTTACCGCCCTCCCCTCCCCCCACCACCACCACTGCCTTCCCTCTGAGGTTTGATGGTCTGTTCGATGCTTCTATGTCTCTGGATCTGTTTTTGTTCATCAGTTTATGTTGTTCATTATATTCCACAAATGAGTGAGATCATGTGATATTTCTTTCTTTCTCATGATGACATTTTAAAGGGCTGGCTCCCAGGTCCTTGAGAAAGATATTCCTGGGTTGTAGGAGATTTAGGCCTCAGAAGGTGGAGTTTTACAATTGCAAGTTATCTAAAGTAAGTGCTCTGAGTAAAGGGAGCTCGGGCCTATAGTCAGGGGAAACCTGTCTAAAGTTTAGTCAAACTGAGGAGAATATTAAGGCCATCTTGGTCAGGAGACACTTTTTTTAGACATTATGTCATGTGGAACTAGCCCTTGAATGCTTGTAACCCTTTGGAAATAGAAACGCATTTACACAGTGAATTATTTTTAGACCAGAAATTCCCTTGATATAATTATATGAATTATAAACCAAGGGAAGATCTCTCCTTGATTTTGTGTCTCTCTGGATCTCAGGTGCTTATTATTATTATTATTTTTCCTTAGCAGAGAAGAACTATGCCTCGAGGCTTTCCTTCCTCAGGCAATGTCTTAAAGTAGAAGTGAGTTTTATGTGTTATTAAGAGTTCCATTTAACTTTTCCATTTTCACTTAGGAAACTTAATGGACTTTCGGGCTTCCTGGTGCTGGTAATTAGGGCAATTCAGTGTGAATCTCAATGTGTTTAAGTGGCAGCACATATATTACTTTCTCTCACATTCATCTCTTCACAGGCAGCATCCCACATAGTATAAGATATTGAAAATTCAGGATATTGTGGATGACCCAACATTAATAACAGAAGCATTTAAACCTTACATTTCCAGGCTGCTTTATTGTTTTTAATCACTTCCACACACAATCTCATCTTGTCCTCCCAGTAAACACTGTGGTAGGATTTATTGCCGGGAGCCGGTCCATGCTTGCTGTTTCAAGGGACCTGGCATATATAGCATACTGTTCTTAATATGTTTGCTCACCTTCTTGGCACTATATGTTTTAACCAAGGTCTCCTCTCTGAGAAAGGTTGTTTTCCCAGGTAGGGATTTTCCCCTGAAGTTAGGGAGGGAATAAAACCTCTTAACTAGTGCCAGGTGGGTAATTAATCACTTTAACTACGAACAATCATGCTTAAGCTACATAATCTTTACTCCCTGGAATGGAGATAAGAAACGCCCTAACCTTTGTAATAGAGATTGATAGGATTGAATCAACTGGTATAAATACAGATGTAATAAGACAGCAAGAGTCAGAACTTAGAATACAGAACTTAGGACACAGAACTTAGAACACAGAACTTAGAACACAGAACTTAGAATACGGAACCAAGAGAGACAGAACTTAGAATACAGAACTTAGAACACAGAACTTAGAACACAGAACTTAGAATACGGAACCAAGAGAGACAGAACTTAGAATACAGAACTTAGAACACAGAACTTAGAAGACAGAACCTACACAGAACTAGAGACAGAAGAACTTCGCTGGAGAGAACATGGCAAAAGATCCTGGACTGAACCTGACTACAGAAATGGGCAAGAGAACCTGACTAGAACCTGGTGACTGAACCTGGCTGGAGAACCTGGACTGAACCTGGCTGGAGAACCTAGCAAGAGAACATGGACACAGAACCTGGCTGGAGATCTGAAGCAGAACCTCTCTGGAGATCCAGACCAGAACTTGGCTGGAGATCCTGGAGAACCTAGCAAGAGAACATGGACACAGAACCTGGCTGGAGATCCTAGCCAGAACTTCGCTGGAGATCCAGACCAGAACTTGGCTGGAGATCCTGGCTAGAGATCCTGGCTAGGCTGCTGATCAACTGAACGCTGTCTCCGCGCCATTCCTTCTTCGCCGACTCTGTCCACACCTTTGGGGACCCCTGGACCTGCTGGGGTTGGACCCTGGCAATTTATCACAAGCATTTTAAAAATATTGTCCTGCAAATGGCAATACTCAACCCTGGGCCTTCTGCCTCCTACTTTGTCTAGTTAGAAACTCTCAATCATTTTTCAGATATAGATATTGAAATTAGCTTGAATTTAAAAACCACTATGCTCTCCTTTTTTTAAAATGATAAATTGGAATACTTCTGAAATATTCAGTTTATTTTTGTGATACAACTTTGGGAAAAACCTCATAATTATTCAAGCTCATTAATTCAGTTGAGTCTTCTAATTATAGGCATAAGAATTCAAGCTAAAGGCACATATTTTTCTTAAAAAACTAAATATTATGATAAAATAAAATTAACAAAAGTACTTTTATACTACTCTGGAACTGAATTTTAATAATAGCCTTTGATATTGATAGTGAAGAATAATTTCTAAAAAATATCTGCATATACTTTGGCATAACTTTGGTAAATTGTCTACATATGTGATTGAATTTAATAAATATATCTGTTTTAGTATCCATTCTCCCCCCCCCACCACCACCAAAAAAACAACAACTATATTTGACATACCATGGGTATAGGCAGAAAAAACACAATTTTTAAATATTTTATTCTGAAATAGATATCAAGAATAATATTGTCCAAAATATTGTCTCTTTAGCCTGATCACTCATGTTTGAAATATTTTTTTTTGTCATCAGGCAACCCTGCCCAGCCCACTTCTCTCCACTACATGAATCCTTACCAACTGAATGCCTATGGGATGGCGCTGAAAGCAGTGGGAGAAATCGTTCAAGATTATGACAGTGATAAAATGTTCCCAGCTCTAGGTTTTGGTGCAAAACTGCCTCCAGATGGAAGAATATCTCATGAGTTTGCTTTGGTAAGGATATGTCACAAGGATTGGATATTTTGAAAAAAAATAAATAAATAACATGTTGAATTTTTAAATATCGGTTCACTGTTTCTTCTTTAGTCAGTCATGTAGCAGGCTTTTGTGACAGTAGACTCTGCTTAATTTGCTCAGTGACTGACTTAGGGATGTGGTATTAATGGAAACAAAGACAGTTAAATAGATTAGCAATAAATCTCTACCTAAGTGCATCTGGTTTATAAATAGGGGGTCTCTTATGGTTTTCTATCGCTGCATAACAACCCCCCCCCCCCCGAGACGTTTTAGGTGTAAACCAACACCATTCTGTTTTGTTCATGACTTGTAACGTTTGGGGTCTCCCCCAGGATGGCTTGATTGGCTAAAGACGGCTGGAATTGTTCAGACGGAACCATATTCTTGATTCTGGCTGACAGTTGGATTCCTCTGTTCTTCATGTCCTGTCTCCCGGGGCTAGCATGCTCCCTAAGATGGCTTCTTTGCTCGTGTCTGATGACTGAGCTGGGATGGCTGAGATAGCTGGGTGGCTTGGACATCTTCCCCTCTTTCTGCATACAACCTCTCCACGTGGTCATCATGGGATCCTCGGTATGGTGGTCTCCTGGTAGTCGGATTTCTTACATGACAGCCGGTTTCCCCAGAGTGAATATTCTAGAAGGCGGGGGCAGAGACTACAGGACTCTTTATACCACAGGATAGAAGTCCTGGAAAGCTCCTTGAGCCACATTTTTTTGCTCAAACAAGTCAATAAGGCCAGCCCAGTTTCAAGGTAGGAGAATTAACTTTTATCCCTCAGCGGAAGGCAGATCAAAGAATGTGTGACTGTACTTAATCTACCTAAAATGCATCTGATTTATAAATCTTCTAAATAGCTTCTTTTAAAATGGCATTTCAAATTTAAAGAACTAGTCATGGCTGGAATTAATTTTTTCCAAATATGAAGCAGCACTTATGGCTATAATTAATTAAGATTTAATTATACTGGAGTAGATATGAGTGGAATAAAAACATTTCTCTAGTTAATGTTTAATTTACATAGATCTATTTTCATTTGTGTGACTGCAGGTAAGCAATGTGTTACAGTTTACCTTCAAAATAGACTCCACATAGATAATGCTGATAGGCCCAGCCAGCCTTACTCTTACATGCACTTTCTGATAAATAATGGGGAAATCAATATATGATGGTGAGCTATTATTTTGGAAAAAATTTAGATTTTTCCTAATAGAGGTACCTCCCTAGCCTTCACTACATGTTATAACAGGTAGGTAATCTCTCCAGTCACTCGTATTTTTGTAGGTCTTTGTTGTTTTTATTCTTATTACAAAAGCAATGCATGCTCCTTATAGGAATTTCTTAAGTTCTATAAGCAAAGTAGACAAACATTAACACATATGCTATCTTTACTAAGTAATTACTGAGTATCAATCTAAGTCCTTTATACTTGTTTTCTTTTTGTTTTGTTTTTTTTTTAAATATATTTTATTGATTTTTTACAGAGAGGAAGAGAGAGGGACAGAGAGTTAGAAACATCGATGAGAGAGATCGATCAGCTGCCTCCTGCACACCCCCCACTGGGGATGTGCCCACAACCAAGGCACATGCCCTTGACCGGAATCAAACCTGGGACCCTTGAGTCCACAGGCCGACGCTCTATCCACTGAGCCAAACCAGTTCGGCTATACTTGTTTTCTTATTCAATCTTCATAAAACTTCTGTGTGGTAGAGATATCATACCTCTCACATTATTCCACTGTAGCAAGTGCCATTCACGTTGAATATGATACGAAGACTGCATCCAAAAGTTATATCACTCGGCTCAGAGGCCCAGAGGATTAACTAGGGTTTTAACAGACAGGACTTGAACCCAGATCATCCTATTTTAGAATCCATTCTCTTAACCACTATTAAGCCACATTTTATAAAATACCTGTATTACTACTGCTCAGAAATGTGTTTTATTAACACCATTATTGTAACATAAAATACTGTTTTAAGAACAGTATTTTAATATTATTACTGCTGTATTTGTTCTTGCTTTCCTATTCTATCCCCCACACAATTTCAGAAAAAAAGGTTGCTATAGGGTTTAATTCTTTCTCCCATGAAATAGGCCACACGCCACACTCCCAATGTCATATAAAAATGAGTATCTGTTGGGATTTTGTTTCTGGAGAATTAACATTTCCCAGAATCTTATAAGACCATGAAAATCACTCATGTGATCCTAAGTCTTAAATGCCTCAGGAAAAAGGTCACGAGCTATTTTAAGCCTAAGAGAAGAAATAATTACGTTAAACTAAATGAGCTTTATTACTTTTCCTTCCATGAATGTCCTCTCACCCTTGTGTATGATTTTCTTCCTTTCTCTCTCTCTCTAATCCCCTCCTCTTCTTCTTCTTCTTTTTTTTTTATCTCTACATTTATTCTTTGTATCCAAAAATATGCCAATAACTACTGCTAAGGAAGGGTTTTTTTTCTTATTTGCACCTTGAACTGTTCTTTCAATTCAATTCAAATACTTATAGGATAGAGTCATACCCCTTTAACTTTATAAAAAATAACCTCCCAAATGACTATGAAAACAATGAGATGCTGCTGCTGATGATAATACTTCAGTTTTAATATTACTTAATTGTTGTATCACTTTAATTTTTTTCAAAGCACTTTTGTTTACTTAGAAAAGCCAGACGAAGGTTAAATAAGTCTTTAATGAGGGAGCATTTGTCTTGATTTGTAGGAAAATATTCTGAATTAAGCTCATCATAAATAACCGCAATATATATTCTATAAGTGCCCAAAATATCAAGTACAAAAACTTCAGTCCCATGTCAGTATGGCACTTCATGTTCATAAACTCTCAGGTTTCCCTGGTAAGAATTGTGATGTGTAGTCACAACCGTTAATCTTTTTATCCACACCAAGTTCATGTAATCTTTCAAGTGGCAAGGGAGGCCTTTTAAAAAATTAAATACTCCCTGCTTGGTGAGCTTGGGGTTGTCTCAAAAGCTGAAATTGAGCTTTGCTGAATCAAAAAGATCTCAGGTAAACCCAGGCTTCCCATGTGAAATATGTGTAAGAATGGATGTAGTCGCATAAGAAAAGGGGGTGGGAAAAGAAAGGAAAGAAGTCCTAGCATCACCCGTGAAGCTCTCTGGGTCGTGAAAATGATGAGTCATTGCTCCCATCTCTTCATGATTCTCTGTGACTCCTTCTGGAGTTGTAACTGAACATACAATAGCGTGGGGCTTCAGAGGACGTATTTCTCATAGCCCTGTGGCCAGTGATCCTTACAAGAAGGATCCTTCTGCATCGATCAACAGAGAAATGCTACACCTGTCTGAGCACTTTCTCCTACTAACTATCTAAAAGAACTTGAATGCTTTTCACTTATTTGGGCATTTATAGGTATCTGTGCAATTTAATATCTATGTGTGTGCCTTTTCTTTAAACTAGACATAACAATTTAACAGCCAAGCGTCTTTACCACTGTTTGCATTAAATAGCAGCTCCACAGATGTTTATTGAATAAAAGGGCGAATTCTCTCAGCTTTTCCCCGCAGTCAGCAGTCTCTGGGCAGCCACAGGTAACATTTCAAAGAATAAAGCCCGGGCTCCTGAGAGCATTTGGTCAGTGTGCTGGCCCTGCTGGAGAATATTATAGGCCGTAGGTAACAATGGACCATAGGCTTCTTGCCCAGAACTGAATCTAACTCCCCAATTACAATCCCTTAGGGAGCCAAATGGAGGGAAAGCGGGTGAGGGCTCGACACCCCTCCCCACTGAAGTCTGCACAGTAGGATTATTGCTCATTTTGAATTCTGTTCTGTATATTTCTATGTGTTCCACCAATGGACATTCATTATTTTATAAATGGAAAAGTTGTTAACCCCTTGAGGGCCGGGGAGCGCGGTCATGCTCCTCCTGTCTTTCGCCAAAGGTGCCTGGAGCGCCATCGCGCTCCTCCTGCAGTGTCCAGTCTAAGTCTGCTTTTATTAGTGATGATGATATTGCTAAATATGTCAGTTCTTGCTGTGAAGATGACGATTTTGTGGAAGATATTGAATATGTAACTTCATTTACTTGTGATCCATAATTTTTTTCCTAAACTGCTGTAAAATCAGCAAAAATGCCTTGGCAATTTTAGCATAGTTCCTAGATATTGGTTGGCACTCTGAAAAGGGAATATAAAATAGAGCATCCTTTGCCATCTTCATTAATGTAAGATGAAAATGAATCCTCTTATTTTTTAAAATGTCCTGTATTTTTGTGTGCCAGATCCTGATACAAGCTTATTTTAATTTGTTTTAACAAGCAAAAACTAATTTCCAACATAATTATTTTAAGAAATGAGTTTTTAAAAAGACTTAAAAATCATTTTATAACTCATTACAATGTTGTCATTAAGAAGAAAATCTTTCCACTAAGAAAATTAAATGGTGAGAAAAATGGTGACCTTGTAATTTCAATTCCAGAGAAATAGAGGAAATATATAGTTTTATAGAAATATAAACTCTCACTCAAATGTTAAAAAGACAAAAAGCTCAGAATTATCCTCGTTTGTAAACCTCAGAATTATTCTTCAAGAGAGATATATTATACATTTTAATGCCCAAAATGAATAATGAGCTTTAATTTTAATTGCTTCATACTTTATCAAGGGAAAAGAACACTGTAAAATTTTATCTGAATGAAGGTTAAATAGGTCAGCTCAGATTAACATCAAAACCACCCTTAACTGCTTTGTGCTAAATATTGAACTTTTATATTTTAATTTAATCAACTGCTGTAACCAATTTTATAATATAAAGAGGTCTTTATGAGTTCTATGCTTTTAAAATTTACATGAGGTTTAGTTAATAAAAAGTTTGAAGAAAAAACAAACAAAAATAAAAGGAAAACGTGTATACATTCTTATCTCACAAAATGGCAACATTGAAGTGGTTGATAATAATCTGGCTTAGTTTCCTAAGATCCCCAGGCTTTCCATATGCTCAGGGTTTCATAACGTGATGGCATAGTGTGGTGAAGAGACTGGACTCTGGGGTTAGACTGCATGGGTTCAAATATTGGCTATTTCATTTGTGTTGTGTGGCTTTTGGGTACAGTATTTAAGTTCTCGGTGTCTCAGTCTATTTGTAAAGCAGACAAAAATGACACTCGTTTATCTACTTTCTTAGGGTGGTTATAAAAACTACATAATGTATGTAAACATTTTCATATAAAGCTCAGTATACAGAAGTCAACAAATTTTAGTTACACATTAGCAGTTCCTTGTGGTTGTTCAAACACAGACATGCTAAAATTATTGCTGTTTAAACATTGTTACTGTTTAGTGTTTTACAACTTTTATTTATATCTCTTCCCCCCTTCCAAAGGTGGAGCCTGATTCCCCTTCCTTTGAGCATGAACTATACTTAGTGTTTCATTTCTAGCAGACAAATTAAAGTAGAAGGAATAGTGTGCGATGTATGAGACTAGCTTATAAAGGCATTGGGACTACCTCCTTGCTCCTTCTCTTGGATTGTTCATTCTGGGGACTTTAGCTGCCATGTTGTGAGAACTCTCAAGTAGCCCTCTGGAGGGCTCTTGTTGGACTCCTGCCAGCAGCTGTGGACGTGAGCCTTCTCAGAAGCACATCCTCCATCTCTGGTCAACCTTTCAGATGCCCAGGTCTGCATCTTGACTGCAAACTCATGAGAGATTTTTAGTGAGAACCTCCTGGCCAAGGTGCTACCTGGATTCCTGCCACCCCAAAAGTGTGTGCGATAATGAATGCTTATTGTTTTGAGCCACTAGCTTTTGGGATAATTTGCTGCATAGAAATAGGTAACGAATGCACTGCCTTATGTGTGTTATCTGTGGAATCTGGATGAGGAGAATTAAACCTACTGATCACAGAGCATCCAAGGTTTGAAAGGCTAGACCAGGTCTCCAGGTTTAAAGTTGCCCTTCTGGGTGCTGTCTTTCAGAATCACTCCTTAGTGGCAGCTCCATCTCCCTTGAACAGCATGGATATATTTCTTGGATTCTTTTTCTTTTACCTTGTTTTGATATTTCTGACACCAAATTACATTCCCTCTGACCCCTTCTCCAGTTGGAGTTGTCAAGTATGGCCTGAAGGTGTGCATGTAGCAGATGATTTACACTTTTCTTTCTATAAGGGAAAACTGCATAGATAGCATTTTTTTCTGATTTTAATACATAACTGCATGAAACTTGAAAATATAGATTTGTTTAAAGGGTGAAATAAAAGCCCCCAATTATATAACCACTCAGAGTTAACTATCTAATATTTTGTTTACTTTTTTTCCAGGATTTTTACATATTCATCTCCACATGTACACAGGCCTGTGTAAAATTAAGACTGTTAATTATAGAATGTGATACTCAGCTTCTCAAGATTACTTAAAATCTTCTCCTGCCATTGCTTTTAACACGTTAAGCGCCCTATCAGTCACCGGTGACTGACACTCTACTTTCCGTCCAGAAGACAAAACAGGCTGGGCGCTTAACGTGTTAAATGTATCTACTTTTAACTATTGTGCACATTATGTTATCATATCACAATCTAAAAAATGCATTGTACTCTATTATTGACCACTTAATTTTTGCAATTATAAATATATAAATTAATATTCTTCCAAAAATTCTTTATGGGTATCAGTGCGTACTATTCTCTTTTTTCAATTGACCTTTATTGACCCTTAATTTTTTACTGTTTTTTTTACTGTGACGTTCTACAGAATGGGAACCCTCAAAACCCCTATTGTGATGGCATTGAGGGCGTCATGGAGGCTTATTATAGGAGTCTGAAATCTGTGCAGCTGTATGGGCCAACCAACTTTGCTCCTGTCATTAACCACGTAGCAAGGTAAGTTGGAAGTACACAAGGTATTTATTCTATTGTACTGAATCACAGAGAAATCATTACATTATTGTTAGAATGCCCTCGCAGATGAAAGGTTTTTTTCCTCCAAGAAATTGAGGTAAATTTTGACATTGAGTGGAAAGTCTCCAATGAGTTATCATGATAATTTCTTTGCTAAAACTTTTACATCAAAATCTCGAGTGAAGAAACATACACTGAGTTATGTTAGGACCTGCATTTGTTCAACCAAAGAAAATTTCTTGTCTTTGAAAAGGCCTTCATGGGAGCAATAACAAGATTAATCATGATCTCATCTGTGTAAATTATTCAGATCTACTATCGCATTCTATAGTAGATAGAAGTAATAAGAAACTGAATTCCATGAAGACGACTTCCTTTCAGTGATATATAGGGCACATTATTTTCACTCTTCTGAAATTAATATACTTGTTAATATTCTAAATTCCCAGAGCTCTACCTGTATATAATACATAATATTGAGATCAGGATATAATTGGTATGATTCCAAATACATGTTCTGAAAAAAAAATTTTTAATGTAAAAATCCATATACATTTCTTTATCGTTTTTTCATTAGTGCATAAAATAAATTAGATATCACTTTTGAAATACTTACAAGTTTGGCTTGGCCCAGTGCAAATCTTATGAAACCTTGCCAATTTTCAGATTGTCAAACAAGTATGGCTTTTGTATTCTTTCTAATATGTAGTCAGCATTTGAATAAATGACTGCTTTCGGATCTGTTTATCAGTGCACAAGAGCAACGTGAATCTTCAGTTCCTGTTTGAAGGTTCTGGGACTTTGCCACGTTCCTTTTGCACATCATGAGCAACTTAAGTGTGTTCTACTTTTCATTATCAGGGACATAGAGAAGATGCTAAAATAACCCCGTACCCAGGGCTGACCCCAGGGGCCTCTACTATGGAACTCCATTTCAGTTTGGCAATGATACATCGATGACGATTCTCTAAGTGTGACCCTTTAACTCAGGTTTTCTGAACATTTTTATCCACCACCTGTACTAAGTTGTAAATTTTACATCACAACATACAACATAAAAAAGATTATGGAATAATACTTACCTTATATTTTCTTTTTATTTCCATGGTGTCTTTTTTGTTCTTATTACTTTTTTATGATGCAGGTCTTGACCCACAAAACTGATTTCAAAATCCACTAATGGGTCATTACCTGTAATTTGAAAAACACAGCTTAGCTTATTGTATTAGCTTGTATAAGCAGTGTTATCTGTACCCTATTTTCCTACTGTTTTTTTATGGCTGTCAAGTAAAGCAGAATCAAAATATTAATGAAAGATCAATTATAGTTGACGCTCTCTTCCTGTCACAGACGACCATCCAGATCACTGTTTTATATACAAAGATAAGAGAAAAATGATTGGACTTAATTTTGTCTGAGCTCATGCTAGTTATAGATGTTCCCATCGGTGCTTACCAATTAATTTTACTTTTTTTTTTGTCCTGGTATATCTCTACTACAAAATTTAAGCTTTCAGATGTAAAGTTTCTAGGTGCATTTCGATGTGCCATTTATTTTTTTTTTGCCATGTATTTTATTTTATTTATTTATTTTTTATTTTATTTTTAATCTTTAGTTTCTTTATTGGTTAAGGTATTACAAATGTGTCCTCATCCCCCCATTAACCTCCCCCCCCCCCTCATGCTCTCATCCCCCTGTTGTCCATGTCCATTGGTTTGGCTTATATGCATGCATACACGTCCTTTGGTTGATCTCTTTCCCTTACCCCCACCCTCCCCTACTTTCCCTCCGGAGATTGACAGTCTGATCACTATTTCTCCGCCTCTGGATCTGTCCCTTTTCATCAGTCTATGTTGTTCTCTATATTCCACAAATGAGTGAGATCCTGTGGTATTTATCTTTCTCTGACTGGCTTATTTCACTTAGCATAATGCTCTCCAGTTCCATCCATGCTGTTGCAAATGGCAAGAATTCCTTCTTTTTTATCTCAGCGTAGTATTCCATTGTGTAGATGTACCACAGTTTTTTAATCCACACATCTGACGGGCTTCACCCTGCTCTATTACTGTTTTTTATGTTTGGTCCAGCACTTTTAACATTCTCAAACATAGGTGTAATTGCCAGCTAGCGGTTTCAGCCTCTTTAAAAATAATCCGTTATTTCCCTGGCTCATGGGGATCAGTTGGTTGGGCTTCATCCCATTCCCAGAAAGGTTGCTGGTTCAATTCCTGGTCAGGGCAGGTGCTCAGGTTGCAGGTTCTATCCCTGGTTGGGGGCATACAGGAAGCAGCAGACTGATATTTGTTTGTTGTTCTTTTTCTCTCTCTCTAAAAATCAAAACAAGTACTTTTTAAAGAAAGAAAAAAGTCTGTGATCTAATAGTTCAGTATTATTATTTTTTAATGAGAAAAAAAAGAAACACAAAGATAAGGCTTTTGGGGAATGATCTCTTCCAATACAATTAGAAGTCTCATGTATTGCTAGCTTGTTATGACTCTGAGTCAGTTTCTTATCTTTTTTCTTGCTCTCTCTATTCCTGAGAACTAGTTGTGAGCTAAAAGAATATTCCACAAATCTGAGCCAACCATTTATGAGTCTACAAAAACAATCCCAGGAACTTACTTGACAAAGACTCCAAAGAAATGTGTTTGAATTCCAAAATCCTGACAAAGTGAACCTCTCCCTCAGATTTGTCATATAATATTAAAATATAAATTAAAGATATCCTATACTTGAAAAAAGATAGCAGCTTTTCAATAATAAGAGTTTTTTCTAGCCGGTTTGACTCAGTGGATAGAGCGTGGCTCTGTGGACTGACGGGTCCCAGGTGCCATTTTGGTCAAGGGCACATGACGGGGTTGCGGGCTCAATCAGCCTCTGTTTTCTACTTTACACATTTCTATAGCACTTAAATTATTTTTTCATAAACATAGAATACTTTTAGTACAAAGTATGATTTTGTTTAAAATTAAATTATCTTGTGAAATGCCACAATATGAGAACGTGTAGAACAAACACCATAAAAAACAATGCATACTTTAAAATAACTAACTTATGATGCTTATGGTAATAAATATAAAATTGGATTGAATAGTTCTTATGTTGAATTTAATTTAGCTTTAAAGCAGTATATCTAAGCAGAAGTGAGAACATGGTAATCTTGTATATCTTTCTATAGCATTAATTTTTCTCAAAGTTAAGAAATGTAATACAAGTCATATTTATTATAAAGTAAAATGCAAAATTTCTATGAATTTTAAAATAAAATAACAAACTTTAGAGAAATTTCTAGTTTACTGTCTGCTTCAGGATCTAACCCTAACTCTCTTGGTAGTATCAAAATATTCTCCTGTTCTTTTTAGTATACTTTCTAATGATTAAAAAAACCCAAAATATAAGTGGATTAAACTCACCAATCTAAAGACAGAGTTAGTGAGTGGTTAAAAAAAAAGCAAGACCCAACTATATCCTCCTATATAATAAAAAGCTAATATGCAAATCAACCGAAAGTTGGAAGAACCGGTTGCTATGATGCACACTGACCACCAGGGGGCAGGCGTTCAACGCAGGAGCTGCCCCTTGGTGGTCAGTACACTCCCACGAGGGAGTGCCACTCAGCCAGAAGCCGGACTCATGGCTGGCGAGCCCAGCGGCAGTAGTGGGAGTCTCTCCTGCCTCAGCAGCAGTGCTAAGGATGTCAGACTGATGGCTTAGGCCAATCTCCCTAATCAGTGGTTTGCACTGCGGCTTGCGAGCCACATGCAGCTCTTTGGCCCCGTGAGTGTGGCTCTTCCACAAAATACCAACTTCTGCGCATGGGTCACGAAGTTTCAATAGCACTGTACACACGCGCCCGCACGTGGTATTTTGTGGAAGAGCCACACTCAAGGGCCGAAGAGCCGCATGTGGCTCGCGAGCCACAGTTTGCTGACCACTGCCCTAAGTCATCAGTTGGATGTGCCCTGAGGGCTCCTGGACTGCAAGAGGGCACAGGCCGGGCTGAGGGACCCTCCCAAGTGCACGAATTTCATGCATCGGGTCTTTAGTTTTGTCTATAATAAACTAAACTTATATTTAAGGACCTACATAAGCTGAAAATGAAAGGATGAAGAAAGATATTCGTTGCAAATGGTAACTGAAAGAGAGCAGGCAGGAGTGTCTATATTTATATCAGACAAAATAGACTTTAAGTTAATTACTTACACAGGAGACAAAGAAGGTCATTACAAAATAAAAGCGTCAATTTATGTGGTATATATATATATATATATATATATATATATATATATATATATACACACCCTTTTGTATATATACAAAATCAGCCTTAAAAAAAGGAGTACCTGCCATTTGCAACAATATGGATCAATCTGAAGGACGGAAAGTATAAATCTAGGTAAAATGAGCCAGATACAAAAAGAAAAAAAATAAACTTGCATGATCTCAATTATATGTGAGATTTTTAAAAGTTGAATACATAGAAACAGAGAGTAGAATGGTGGTTACCAAGAGTAGGGAGGTAGGGAAAATGGGGAGATATTGGTCAAAGGGTACAACTTTGGTTTATGTAGTACAAATATGTCTAGAAATCTAACATATTACATGATTACTATAGTTAATACTATATTGAGTACTAGAAATTTGCTAAGAGAGTAAATCTCAGGTACACTGATCACAAAAATATATGGGAACTATGTGAGGAGATAACATGTTAATAAGCTTACTGTCATATTCATATCACTATACATATGAAAAATGCTGTACACCTTAGATAAGTACAATTTTCATTAAAAAGAATAAAAAATTTCAAAAGGGTTAATTCACAGAGAGATATAATAATTACTAATATGTATGCCTGGGGTATCACAGCAGTTAAATATATAAGCAGAAATTGACATATCTAAAATGATAAATAGACAGCAATACAATAATATTAGACTTCACTGCCCCACTTTCAATGATGGATAGATCATCCAGACAGA